AGAAGTAAGTACAGAAAACCAGATGATACCTCCCCATCCTTTTAAAAAGGCATATCTTTATGAACTTTGGCAAGAGCACCTACTGCACAAAATTAAGCAGTAGGGCATCTTTGGCTAATTTTGACAAAGCAACATTTGCCCGTTGGTGGAGAGCACTGAGGATGTTCTTGTACACCAGTAGTGGGGAAATAAAAGGTCCTGTGGGCAGTGTAAATTCTCATAGCATAGTGCCACCTAGTGGTCAAACTGTTGAACAAAACACAATTATGAAATAAACTGAAAAATGTAAAACTGCTCACAGCAAGCTTCAGCGACAATTTGCCCATGGACTGCTTTCACTTAGGAAATCATGGTTGTTGTTTTTAACTAATCTCTTTCATAATGCAGCTATAAAATCTGCATTGGTCAGAATGCTCATCTTCATTACAAATGTCTCTTTTAGTATCAACTTTAACCAAACATTCATAATAAATAGCACAAAATATATATTTGTGCTATTTAAATGAATTTTTGAACTTAAATGAATTATGAATTTAAATATCATGGCCCCAATCCACCTGTAGTCACATGCAGCAACTGCCAATTTGTAAGGTGACTCTTACCATGCCCTTATTCTTAGATTTTCAGTTAGGTGCAGAAGTTTGGTCACAGTTGCCTTACTTCTGTAAATTATCATCTGCATCTAGTCTCTATGTGCTCATAGGAATGACTATTTTAAATTAGTGTAAAAGAGGGAAATGAGATGGACTGAAGAAACTAGGGCTAGAGACAAGTGGTAGTTTTTTTTTCCTCCCTAGAGATTTGAAGGTGATTTGGAAGAAGTACTCAAGGTGAATACTCTGGGGAACAGGTTTTTCACAGGCTTTTGCATTTGAATTGTTTTCTCCAGAATCTGCAAACCCTGGAAACAGAATATGGATCTGCAGTGTATATACCATGGAGAGCAAAACTCTTCTCAAACCACTTTCAGCTCTCTGGGGGGAAAAAAACAAAATAGAAATGTTGCCTGTCTCTGGCCTAATATTTCCTTTGATCTATGCCTAAGACTCCACACACACCCAGCTTTACTAGTTTGAACTCTTCTGCCCTACAGCATCTTCTACTGAAGCTTTAAATAACTGACATCTCCCTACACACCAGAGGGGCTCAACTTCTATTATACAAGGGATCAATCATTCAAGCCAGTTTACCCTCTGAAGCAACTGTATTACCGGACCAGGCCTGAGCCCACAATTTGCAACAGGTGTCAGGTTTTTTTGGGGGGGGCACTAAAGGACAGCAAAGTGCCTGCTTCTAGCACCAAAATATCTTGACTCATAACACAAACATCCTTGATAATACTGTAAGAGATCCTGTGATTCACCTACCATGCTGCTTCGGGGGCATCATCCTGTTGCCCCATATAACCAGGTTACTGGCACAGTTTAATTAAGCCTGCCTTCCTAAACACACTTGTTAGACAACGAGCCCCATTGAACTCGGTAAGATTTGCTTTTGAGTAAAAGACGCTTAAGCTTGCTTGTATATTCTCCAATAAAACCCGAGCACAACCAGCCAGAATTCGTGGCTGTAGTAGAGGAATAATGCACATTAGTCCCCTCCGTTTGCCACCTCCCTGCCCCCGGCTGACTCTATGCGGCGGGGCCGTCTTCTTCCCCTCTGTCCGCCCAGCGGAGTCATCAGAGGGTTAAGCTGTCAGAGCTATAATGTTAAACAGGTGTCAAAGGCGCCTCCATATATCTGCAGATTGAAATCAAATGCTTTGCCGTATAAAAAGATAAATTACCCAGGCGATTCCCGCCTCATCCCACTCATCAGGCCAGCGCCAGACGGCGAGCAATTTTTTTAAAAATGTGCTAACGACCTAATCAAGCAATCAAGTCGGAGAAGATTGCGGAGTGACCCCCGAGCATCCATCTGCCAGCAAGGCCCCCCCCCCCCATTCATTTCCATTCCACCAGGGACAGTGGCTGCTTTCCCTGGAAAGGGAAAGGGAGAGAACGAGGAGAGATAAGGGGGGGAGGGGTTGGAGAAGAACAGTAAAAAAAAAAAAAGGATTCCTAAACAAATTAACACCCAATTTTGCAGCCTAATTAGTTAAATGAGAAAAAGCCGATGGCGTGAGTGTGTGCGGGGATATGTCGCGGCAGGGAGGGGGCGGCTGCCTGGCGGAGGAGCGAGCGGGAACTTCACCACCACCCCGGCATTAATTAGCGCGGGTCAATGGCGCCGATCCCCGGGGAGCAGCCGCTTTAATTTCCCGTGATATTTCAGTGCCTGAGGCCCATCGATTCAAACTGAAATTAACTTATTTTTCAATCAGGCCCGGGCTGCCCCTGGGGCTGACTCTTCCTTTGCCTCCTCCTGAATAGACCGCCAGCAATTTTTCATCTCAAAGCTGATGCCTCTCTCCGAGGCGGGAAAGGAGGAAAGGAGGGGAGGGGAGAGACAAGAGGAATGGGAAATGGGAGGCTGGGGCCGAGCGAGCGAGCGAGGAAGTAGGCAGGCAGGCAGGCAGGCAGGCAGGCAGGCAAGCGCTAATAGATTTCTGCCAGGCAGGTTCGCGCCGGCCCGAGGCTCTGGCGCCCGGGTAGGGGGAGAGTGGGGGGCGCCGGAGCTTCTTAAACGGGGGAGTCGAGGCTGGCGACGTTCTCCAGTCTCTGACACGTTGGGGAAAAGGCGGCCTTCCGTCTCGCACACGAGCTCCCTCTTGTTTTGACATCCCATTAAATAATGAGAGAGAGAGAGAGAGAACCCCCGGCAGGGAGAGCCGAAAGCCACTTGCGCAGAGAGACAGTAACAGGAAATTAATTATATCCCTGTGCTGAGCTCTGAAATGGTGGTTCCTGCCACGGTTGTGAGAAAGGAGGGGGAGAAATGTGCACAGGCTGGAGAAAGGGTGGAGGAGGGTGTTGGGGTGAAGCAGAGAGGTGCTGCAGTTGATTTAGGGCTAAAGTCAATTTCCGTTTAAAAACCACTCTGATTAAAATTTGGTAATGAGTATATAACGTTGCTTATGGGGGTTAGAGCTGACCTGTGGCCCACCCCTGTTCTAGGTGTGAATAGTTCCTCTAGTGTAGTAAACTTCTGGTACTCTCAAGGTGTGCATCATCCCTTGATTCTTCATGATTCAAAAACAAAGGGCAGGAAGCTGAATGTATGAAGTGAATTAATTTTTAAAAGTGTTGTGCTGGGGATGATAGAAAGGTCTTTCTGTGGTGTCAAATCTGTGATCATTCATTTGGGTAAGTATGACTGCAACATCACAAGAATGAATATTTTATTCCAGAATTTTATGCATCCATATTACTAGAAGAAAGGGGCACCATGCTACAGGATGTGATGAGCATTACAGGGAAAGGCGAAATATTATTGAAAAGAATAAACAGCTTAGATTGACCCAGAGCTTCAAGCTGTTATGAATATGGTCTTCTGCTCTAGAACATCGGGAGTCAAGACAGCAACAAGGGATGTCTGAGTAGACAAGGTGTCTTTCTCACCTCTGCTCTTGTCATGTTAGAAGCAGCTCAGCTCAGTTCTGGCGCATGTGTTTCTATAAGAAATGGGTCATGATAGAAGCCTTCCCTACTTTTGCCCCAATGGCTGTTGCAGTCATCTGCTCTGAGGAGAGATTTGGTTGAGGAAGACCTTCTTCTGTCCATTTGCATAGGCTTCCGATCTTTTGATCATTTGCTCATTTATTAAAAATATGTATAAGCTGCTTTATCTCCTTAGATTCTAGTCAACTAAAAAAAACAGCAAAAACTACAAGGACACAAACATCATAGCCAATGAATAACATGTTAAAAATCAAAATCACACATTAGTTGTTGTAGATTTTCTGGGCTGTATGGCTGTGGTATTGGCATTGTAGTACCTGATGTTTTGCCAGCAGCTGTGACTGGCATCCTCAGAGGTATAACACAGAAAGATCAAGTACTCTCTGTGTCAAGGTGAGAAGAAAAATGGTAGGCAGGTAATTTATATCTACTCAGGGAGGTGGGGTAGGGCTGAGTCATTATCTTGTAGGAGTTTCCCAGGCTGTGACATGCTAATGGAGGAGCTTTCCAGAGGAGGTTCTTTTGCGTATGGATTGGCTGTTGACATTCTAATCTTATCTGTAGTGCTATTGTAAGATGTAGAGCATTTTGTGTTTTTCAGGACAGGAAACCATGCCCTATTAATTTTTAAACTCTCTTCTTTCCTGTTGAAATTGTGTTTATGTTTATGAATTTCAGTGACTTCCCTGTGTAATTCGAGTATACCGCATACCATGCAGTTGTGGACGGGTTTACACCGGGACCACACAGTGTAGCATTCAGACAAGAATAAAGGAACATGAAAGGCACTGCAGACTGGGCCAACCTGAAAAATCACCAGTGGCTTAACATAGCCTAACTCAAACAGGACACAGTATCTTATTCCAAGACCCTGGAAGGCTGGACAACACATCCAATTACTATGTCAGACTACACAGTGAAGCCATTGAAATTCATAAACATAAACACAATTTCAACAGGAAAGAAGAGAGTTAAAAAATAAATAGGGACACTTTCCTGAGAGCAGCAGGTGAAGGTGCTTGCCGTACCTGCTCTGGTAGGCCAACCACAGAGAGAGCCTGTGAGCTAACTATAGCCAAATGGACGCTTCTAGATGAGAGTACCACAGAAGGCAGTCTGAAGAGTTTAACTGGCACATAGGGGCATAGTGCTAGATTTGGTTCTAGTGTGAGAGGTATGAAGGGCTTTATGCTTGAGTGTAGCAAGAAACATAACAGATAGATAAGTCCTATGTGTTAACATTGTATATTGTAAGAATCCAGTCATGGTTGGGCCTTTGATTCTTGTGTGTAAGCAAACAACCAAGCATATATCTATTAATTTATGGGAAAAAGAAGCTCATTTTCTGACAATTCATATTTTAAATCCTGACTAAATAAGTGTATAGCAGTCATTGGGCAGTACTGTTCAGCCCTTACATAATGATGATCCTCTTTGCAGGTTTGGTTTCAGAATCGAAGAGCCAAATGGCGGAAGAGGGAGAAATGCTGGGGCAGGAGCAGTGTAATGGCAGAATACGGGCTGTACGGGGCAATGGTACGTCACTCCATCCCGCTGCCAGAGTCCATCCTCAAATCGGCCAAGGATGGCATAATGGAATCCTGCGCTCCTTGGCTGTTGGGTAAGAGACCAAACTTGAGCGTGGGATTGATTTTGTCTAGCCAGTTTCCCTGTCAGGGCCCTGGCAGAATAGAAGGGAATAAGCAATTAGACAATGGAAGTTTATAGATGAACTCAGGAATTATTCCTGCAGGGACTGAAATTTATTTATGTTTCTTGGAATCTAGGGACTCATCCCAGCCTTACAGTGCAATGCAAAGCAGAGTTACATTGTTCTACTGAGAGAGCAATCCTAAACAGATTTACTAAAAATCCTACTGGTCTACTCAGTGGGGCTTACTCTGAGGCAAGTGTACGTAGAATTGCACTATTAAAAGATTGCAATAATGATTAGTAAGAATGTGTTGTTTCAGGGTTAAAAACCTATCAGACTTATACAACACAAGTTTGTTAATGCCTATACTTTTAGGCCTGGTGCTTATGTTACACAATCATAATGATAGTGATGCTGCTGCAGAAAACCAGTCTCTCTGGTAACTTCTACAGCCTCCTGTTTTAACATTTAGGGCAAACTCTGACACATAGATAACTGATCCGATGTCAAGAGTCTTCACACACAGGTTGCACTGGTTGCTAGCTGAGCATAAAGACTTCTGGGATAACAACAAAAACAGTCCATCCCTAGCACATTTCTCATTATATGAGCTTGTACAGGGAAGGGTCTGCTTCCTCAGATATATGAAGTGGAGTTGGAAGCTGTCTATCACAGATGTATTTGTTGTTCCATAAATTGCCATAGGACATTTGGCAGTTTTGGATAACCTAGACCAGAGGTGTTGAATATAAAGGTCACTTTGTTGGGCCAGGCTATGTGTGCCATAAAATGTAATGCCAGGTACCAGAGATATAAACTTTATTAAGGACACAAGGAAACCAAATTAACAATATTATTTTTTAATTCAAAATACAAACATGCTTAAAACATTAACACTCTTACTATTTCCTTAAAGTATCTCCCTGATGCCCACCCTCCCACTTCCACTGCCCATTACTCATTAGAACTGGGACAGTATGCAGGGACAAAATGTGCAGCCTCTGTCATCTGGCAATAAAGGTAAAGTTGTTCATGGGCTGGGTAAGAGCCCTGGATGGGCCAGTTCTGGCCCATGGGCCATATGTTTGACACCTCTGACCTAGACTAAATTAATCTGCCTTTTGGGATATAATTACCACAATCCATATGGTAAGCTGCTCTAAATGTTACAGAAGGCATAGAGAACTCTTGCAGTTGCATTCCTGAAGTGAATGTAAGATGTACTAGCCCTTAGAAAATCAACTCTGGCAACTCTAGAAAATGAATAGTGACCAGAATCTTGGAGAAATCAAATCACATCAGGTCAACAGAGTAACAGTGCTACTCCTAAGCAAAAATTCAGGTGGGTAGCTGTGTTGGTCTGAAGCAGCAGAACAAAGTTTGAGTCCAGTGGCACCTTTAAGATCAATAAAGTTTTATTCAAGGTATGAGCTTTCATGTGGAAGCACACTGTATATGAAGACGTGTGCTTACACACAAAAGCTTATACCCTGAATAAAACTTCGTTGGTCTTAAAGGTGCCACTGGGCTCAAACTTTATTCCTAAACAAAGTTACACTTTTCTAAGCCCGTTGCCCTCCCATTAATTTAGAATGGTGTAACTCTGCTTAGGACTGTGCTCGGTTTCTCAGAAGATGCTGATCCTGCTGTTCAGTAAAAACATGGCAATTTGCCTGATACTTTTGTGTATGCTTGTGTGGGGAGAAAATAATGGCTGCTTCATATTTGACAAAATCCCCAAACAGGAAGCATTTCTGCTTTCGAAACTGTGCAAGCTGTGGGTAGAACATCATGTGTACCAGTTGCAAAGGCAAATATTTAACTTCAGGTACACACAATACACATGTACTGAAAAGATGCCAACATTTCTGGCTCTTAAGTGTTGGAATAATTATCTACAAATGCATTCAGTGTTATTTTCCTTAGAAGCACTTCCCCTGAAGGATTTTGTAATGTTTTTAGGCAGTTGTAAGCCTCTTGGCAGCTGTGATATCCCAGGTGTTCTTAGCACATCTGAGATTACTGTTTCCAGAAGTTCTTTTTACTCCTGAGCTTTTCTAATTGAGGGATCTGTTCAGATATATGCAAATAAGCAAAATCTTTTTGGATCAAATCAAAGGTCCGTTAGTTCAGCCTGTTGTCTCCAACAGTGCCCAGCTGCCTCTAGGGAGATTACAAGCAGCCTATGCAGGCAACAGCCTTCCCCGTTTGTCTTTAGCATCTGATATGCAAAGGTATACGAGTTGTGAATATGGAGATTTTATTTATTCAGCTATCATGGCTAATAGACCTATTCTTCCATGAATTTGTTTAATTGTTTTAAAAAGATGTCTCAGCTACTCCTTGAAATTAGGAGATTTTCTCTTATGCTCCTGCTCTTCGCTTGGGTCTTGTCTTCTGCTTTTTCAGACTAATACTGCGACAAAAGTTAACTTCTGGCTTCTTTAAACATGTTTTGCTTCATACTTCTGTCTATGTGAAACCCAGAAATGAGAGGGAGAGAGGCAGAGGGGTTGAGATGTGTGAGCAGAAATTTAGGCTTATAGGCAAAAGCATAGATTTCTCTCACCAAAGCCTTGCTTATATAAGAGCTGCTGTATGAGGCATATATCCTCCACCAATTTGTATCTGACAGCTGAGAATCATAAAGCCCAGCAATATTATGTCCTTACAGCTCTGAGTTCTTCTGCTCCATCTTTATTTGTTCACCAGATTTCAGCTCCAAACATTTTTAAAAGCACTTGATTGTGCCTTTTGAAATTAACATCCTTCTGTACATTTATGAAAATTATATCTTTAGATCTAAGTCTGAGTGTGGATCAAGAAACCCACACAATGGGGCCATGTACAAATAGAGTGGATTTTCCCTATAAACCCAGGGGAAACTCCCAAGTTTGCAGAAAAACCAGAAAAGTTTTTAAAAGTTAAAACAAACAAGCCAGAGAGGCAACATCTGCACTTGTAAGCACAGATTCCCCTTCCAGCCCTGCTGTTATGTCCACTTGTAGAAATCCCTCTACAAATTCTCCTGCTCCCATCTTTCTGAAAATGTACAGACCTGTAATAAGGGTTATGATTCAAGTATAGACTTAAGGTAGGGTTGGTTCCTGTTTCTCACCCAGGTCTGACCTCTTTCTGTCAGAGAACTGGCCTGAGGTCCCCCCACCATGCAGGGCCTGTGCAATGGGCTCTCTGTGACTGCTGTTTGAAGCAAGGCTTTCTGCTTTTCCTTAATTCTGGCCTCTCTTTATCTTTACTGTTTTCAGTTCAAGATGGCTTTCCCATGCCCAGGCGCTTTTCTAAACCCGAATACCAACAATTCTTTTTAGGGATGCACAAAAAATCTCTGGAGGCAGCGGCTGAGGCGGGGAGGAAGCCAGAGGTGGAACGCCAGGCCCTGCCCAAGCTTGACAAGAGTGACAAGGAAGAAAGGGGCCCAGATTCCAAAACCACCATTTCCCAGGAAGAACTGAGAGAGAACAGCATTGCTGCCCTCAGGGCCAAAGCTCAGGAGCACAGCACCAAAGTCCTGGGGACCATCCCCGGAGATCCTGCTACCCCAGTCAGGAAGCCAGAGAAAGAGGAGGAGGCAGCCACAGCAGAGGACCAACGGCAAATGGAATCACAAGCAGATTTATCACAAGAGGAAGAGAAGCTGATTTAGAGGAAAGGGGACGATGGGAAATCAGCCACCTTCTCAAAGACTAACTCTTCTAGGAGCTACAGCCTCCTGTCAGACCAACAGGGCTCCTCCTGCAGCCCCTACTACACACGGAGGTAGTCCCCCCACTTGGTCGCTGTGGATTTCAGGAAGCCACAGGCTCAGGCCACGTTCTTTCAGGTGTCTCCGGAGACTGATTCCCTTCAGGAGCAAGTTGCATCTGCTCTTCCTGCCCTCAGGAGCACTCTTGCTCTGCTCTCTTCCCCTTTCCCCATTTTGGGGAGAAGAGGGTTATATACCACCACCACCACAATATTAGTCCCAAGAATCTTCCTCTTGGGAGGAACTAAGCTAGTGAGGACTATGATTTCCTCAATACCAGCCACTAAGCCAATGTTGGGTCCTTTTTCTCTTTTTACCTTATTCAGTCTTTTTCTTCTTCTGTTCTCATCCCACTCTCAAAAGATTACTTTTATCATCTCTCACTGTGAGAGCACGTCTGTTTCTCCTTGTCTCAGTCAGGTTATTATGGCTTTCCCACAGAAAGGGGAAAAAACCCTACCCTGTTAATTTTTATATGTTAATTTATGTAAATATATAATATTTTAAACTGTCTATTGCCTAGCATTGAGGCTGAGTTTAGAAACAAAAGGAAGCCATTCCCTCCTTTAAAGGTTGGGCCAAATTTACATCTGGCCAGGTGGCAACCCTACCTCAGAGAGAATCTCATCCTCACTGCAAAGAGTCCCAGGCACCCTTCCAGTGCAATGGTGAATTTCCCTTGGAGAACATGCCCTTGTTGTGGCTTGTTTGTGGCACCCAAATTGCAGCATCCCAGAATCTTAACTAGTATTCCTGGGTGGCAATATGAATTTCCCCTTTAGCTCAGATGACTTTGGGGGGGGGGGAATCCATGGAAGTAGTTGCATACAACACTGAGTTCATTCTAACAGTGGTTTACACATTCCATAAGTGTCTTTCTTTGTAGAGTCCTGGAATGTTACGGAAATGGAAAGGAAAACATGATAACTGAAAACAGAGGTGCCAGGACTTCAGTCTGCTTGGGTGTCATAGAATCTGGTCTGGAAGCTCTGCCTTCTCCCAGTTCTTGATACATAGATTCTGGCAGGGGTACTGATGAGCGACATGCACTCAGTATATGAGCATATGTACTCTGTTACGTAGCATTGTACAGAGGTAATACCTAGTATTCAAAACCAGTTTCAGGGTTTTGTCCTAGGGAACCTGGGTCATAAGAACATAAGAGAAGCCATGTTGGATCAGGCCAACGGCCCATTCAGTCCAACACTCTGTATCACACAGTGGCCAAAAACCAGGTGCCAGCAGGAGGTTCACCAGCGGGGTCAAAGTAAGCCTGGGAGAGTACTCTGAATTCAGGATGGAATGGTTCTGAAATGGAAGTGGAGAAATGGAGAAAAACACCGTTGGCCCCAATAGCCGAATTTCAGGGAAGGGGGAGGGAAGGAGCTTAATTTTTTCATGACTTTTTCAGTCTTAAGATTTTAAAGGCTGGTTCATGCGTGCATATCACTGGGTTACTCAGCACTTGATCATTGTGTGAACTGGCTACATCGTAAAAAGTTGCCTTTATGGTGATATGGAAGCCTTGCCAGAGTTAGATCTGCAGTTGCTCATTCACATATGGAGAGCATCCTTTGATGCTGCTCAAATGATGAGGATGAATGTTTGAAATTGCCCACGTAAAGCACATTATTTGTGTGCAATGTTAGCTATCCTTGTTATGTGCAGTAGTGCAATGTGAAATAAAGCACTTATGGACATCTTGGGGGTCCACCAGTAAAAGGGATATCAGGTTACTTATATAGCCAATTAAGTCAAAGATTTTGACCTGAAGACATGCCCACACAGTCATAAGAAATCTCTTCAGTTTCATAGTAACATTGTTCAGAATAGTTCAGAAAGGTGTTTTATAAAGGGGAAGGGACCACTGTAACATTGCCCTTTTGTTCTTCTTCATTGAAGGCCCCAGGATAGCAAACCTCCATGTTCCTTTTCCTATCCTTGTTTCCGACAAGAGGTGTTTTTAACCAGGTTGCTGTTTTGTTTATGATTGATCTTCCAACATAACTCTTCTCTGTCTTTGTCTCCCAGTTCTTTGGCGTGTTAGATTATAGCCCATGGTGTGTAAATAATGTACATATGGTGAGAAAAGTTGTTATTTGAGGTGTTTAAGATACAAAGTTGTAACAACTTCTAGTCATTTGAAACCTGTGATTTTTGTGCCATTTTCTGTAAAGATATAAATCAGAATAAAACAGAACTAAAGATGGGCCGAGCCATTCTATTGTGCACTTTTCTGGATGCTAGTTGAATATACTTGAGAAATATTTGTATTAATAAATATGGTCTAGACCACTAGTCTTCCACCTTTCTAAACATGAGATCCAATGAGCTGCAAACATATGACATCAGAGTCATGTGACAGTAAGAGGGAGCCAGAGTTATGACCTCATCAGTGTCAAGCCTTAGGCAGCAGAGCAAAAGAGAGAGGGACTTGGACTTCCCACAAGCTTGGACAAAGTGTCCTGTCCCTTTAACAGAGGCTTAATGTGTGGAAATATGCAGCTGAAGCTTTTCATGGCATGAAGGTAAATAACATTGTTTGGTAAATAATATCCCATTAAGCCTCTATTAAGGGGACAGAAGATTTTGTTTCTCCAGACAGCTGGCAACACTACCAGGGACAGAAAACACAAATTGACCACCAGGAGGTTCTGCTGTAGTAAGTAAGATGTTAAGGGCCAGAACCATGGAGGAATTCTCTTCATCACTAATAAGTGACCTTGCCTCACTGTCCGACTGGTCCTTGCAAAACGTGTGCTAGATGGGCAGGAAGTGCAACGCCCTTGCTCTCTCTGCATGCGCATGAACAGCAGGTCCTTCAAAACATAAAAAAGGAGGTTGCAACCCAACAATTATGGCCCCATGACCCACTTGAGGGTCCCAGATTAACTGGTTGGCAGATATGATGCATGCAAGCATGGGAGAAAAATTGCTAAGAGAGGTAGAGTTGCTTTTGTTTTTTAACGAAGCAGTCCACAGGTCCGGGGGAAGTTATAAATATCCATCACTTCTCTTCGCTCCATATATTCCATTTCAACAAGGGACTGAATTCAGGGTTCTTACAGCATGATGAGATTGTGTCTGGCTGCAAAAAGATGTCCTATGCCAAACAGTATGCAGGTACATGAGTGAAACCTATTCTATTTTGACAGACTGTAGGAAAAAATTTACCTGAGTTACCAGCCATTATCACAATAACCCCCCAAATAAAGGTACAGAAGAAGGGAGGCTTGTGAGATATGAAAGCACAACAGCTTGGAATTCTGGTTGCAAGACATCTTGCTTTATAATTTATTGTCCTGGTCAGCAACTAGATTTACAAGAGTGGCGACCAACTGTTGATTCTGTTCTTTAACTAATAGGGTGGATCTGAGTCACTACAGCTGAGCAAACAAGAAAAACTATGCTGGTATTGCTATGTATTGTTCTGGCAAAGTACCATTTGCATGGGCCTGTACTGGGATAAGTTACTGCATCGAGAGAAAAGATGGCTCTGTCTTTGCTGTAAAGATTTATTTATTTATTTGATTTCTATCCCGCTGTCCCCGCCAATGGGCTCAGGGCGGGTTACAAGGTCACACAGATTCGTGATAACAGTAACATGTTGGATAATTTAAAAAACATTTTAAAACAATAATAAAACAGTCACTGCAAAAGCCTTGTTTGCGATGCTCAGTTTCAGCTGATCAGAAGCCAGTGATTTTAGTAGAGGATTTTGAATGTCTGCTACCTCAGCCAAAAGCTCGGTGGAACAGTGGTGTTTTACATGCCCTGTGGAACTGTAATAATTATAATGGATTTGCCTTGTAGTTTAGTATTTTTAGTATTTTAATATTTGCAAGTTCTCAGTCTCCATCCAGGATCCTGTGATTTTGAGGCAAGAAACTAACTTATCCATAGTACCTTAAAAGACTAACAAATGTATCCTTAAGGTGTCACAAGACTCTGAAGTTTTGAGCATAGCACATCACCCTGCCTAAATTTGCTTCTGCAATTTGATACTGATAGGACCTCCTTATTTATTTAATTTTCTGTATTTGTAGTCTGCCTTTCTCACTGAGACTCAAAGCCGATTACACAGCGTGACTTGGTAACAGTCCACACAAAGAGACATCTAATGAGCACAAGGGTAGGTTATTTCAATCAATATGAGGAGACATCAAATGAGCGATGTACTAGGATTAGGATTATCACACTCTGAATGAACATAGCCTATTAGGCATGATACACAGTGAGGACATAATGAAGAAAAGCAGTATTACATCAGTAGAAAACAATGACAACAGGGTGATGCGTGCAGCAAACTGCTAATACATCCTATACACAGTGGTCCCTTCCCCTTTATAAAACACCTTTCTGAACTAATCTGTTTTAGTATAGCCCTATTTATGGTTCATAGCAGTTTACAATACATGAGTAAACACCTGAAGACAATAAAAACTCTATCTTCCCCCCACCAGCCTCCAACCTGCACTTTATTAAAAGCTCTGGTACATGCAGTAACCTTACAACGTCTCCTAAAAGTTTACAAGAATCCTTGGGGATACGGTTCCATAAAGTGGGAACAACCACAGAAAAGGCACAAACCCTTAATGATGCCAGACAGGCCACCTTTAATGCGGGAACAACCAGACGGCGGCAATTTGAGGACCCTATTTGGTGTACAAAGATGTAGGAGAGAAACTAACACAGCGATTCACTCCCTGCCTCGGGATGTTGTGCTTTCAGCCAACTAAACCTAAAATTCTGCTCAAACAGCAAATTTTCTTTGCGTTTTTTCAGATGCATAGACTGGTCTCATACCCTACCTGGTTGCTAGATTGCCCGTCATGGAAGCATCTACAGCTAACAGGTCACCTTCTCACTTTACTCTAGACCAGGGGTGGCCAAACTTGCTT